CTACGTTTAGTGCCAATCAGTGGCGGATCTTCTTGGCCCCCCCAAATATAATGAATATTTAATATATTTACTTGTGTATTTACAATTTTATCCTCTCAGCCCCTCCTCAGTTTTGTAACTCTCATATAATTTATGATTTTGTTTCCCTCAAACTTAATGATCATTTAATATATTTAAGTATATATCTAGAATTTTATTTTGTCACCCTTTCATCTTCTTTCTTCCTTTTATATTTAATTATTATTTATTAATAATATATTATTTGGCCCCCCAAAATCAATGGTCAAGATCCGCCATTGGTGCCAATATTGTAATGAAAGGTCATGAGAGTTTCAACATATAAATTATCCAAATTCAATTGATATAAACCATCATAAAGTGTACCAGATCCAACCATACAAGTACGCTTAAACAAACTGAAACAATCATTACCGAACTTGAAAGAGTATCCAACGAGGGATTTTGTCAGCATTTTGGGAGCACTCTTCTATAAATTTCATAAACCCTTTCGCGTCCTCAATTTTAGGAAGAGCATTTTGGGAGTACTCATTTGCATAATAAGGCTAAGTCTTTTTTACCTTTTCCAAGTTCTATAATGAGTTTTCTCTTCATTGTTACTAGCATTAGTAATAACAACAAGTTTTTCAACTTGGAAAGTCAAATCAAGATCCAACACACCTAAGTAAAATTGGACATGTTCACTCTAGTCAGGGAAATTTAACTCATTAAAGACTGAAATAGACGAAGTGAGCAAATGTAGAGATACAGGAACAAATACTTCAATTAACACATGTCTAACATTAACGTTTTGAGTCATAAAAATTAAACATAAATAATCATTCTATGCATAATAATGTTCTCCTTTGGGAGATCCACTAATATACAAACATAATGACGCTAACCATTTTATAATATTAATGATAATTAAAACATGTATCCACTAGAATTACCTAACAACTTTAGGTATATAAATAAAACTAGTGATGCATACAAAATTATCTACCTTCATGTTCATTAATTATAATAACAACTAATCAACCTTTAGGTGATCCTGAAATGCTTGATAATAATGAACTTCAATTAACCCATAAATCAATTATTCATAATTTTAGTATTCATACTATGGATAATTGAAATAAAATCATCAATTATTTGAAATCAAATAACCTTAAAATTTTGGTCACTTTTGGTGAGTAACAAAATTTATCATGCTTAATTTCAAATAAATAACATTTTTAATTATTATTACTATTAACCATTTATAGAATTTTTCATTAATTTTAATAAATATTTACATTATTCTCATAATAAAATATTATGTGTCATAAATAAAATTGAAACTCATAATTTTAATTTACATTATAGGATTGATTTTCAATCCAAGACCTTTATTTGCATTTCACATAAAAGTGAAATTGTCATCAATTCAAAACTTTTATGCATAACTTAAACATAACGGAAACAATTCAATTCAATTTGCAAAACAAAATCTGCAATTAAGACATTTATACACGTCCCATAATAGTGACAACCATTCATTTAATTCCAATTACAAACTATCTATAACATACAATTATTGTAAATTAAAAATATGTTATTTATATAATAAAATATCAACATTAATTCTATTTGTGACGTAAACTAATAACATCACTACACTTGAATCTAACTTTCTAAACATATGCACTTTCGGGAGAAAACTATAATGGCATATAACGGATAAAAGTTAAATAAATAAACAAACAAATAACATCATCACCTTTCACTTCCTACCATTGTGCCAAAAATCTTTAAAAAAACGTAATTCAATTAATATTATGATTTATTAGGATATCAAACTTACATATTACGTGTTTTGTTTTCCAATACCCGTAACCAGACATGTACAGTGTTGCAATCAAAATACTCAATTGAATCAAATAACATCATTCCATTAATTTCAATCACAAATTCATTCATGTGATAGGGAAAATATTTCGGTGCATTCCCTTGACAATTAAATTGGATTTGAAGACATAACTAATGTAGTGACCACACACAGTGGAAAAACATATAACCAATTCATAAAACGTAAAATTCCTAAAACTTATAATTAGGGTTCGTTAACAAATTTGAGGATAAATTAGGGTTCATGCTAATTTGATAGAGAAATTCTTAAATTCATAATTAAGGTTTATCTTAATTTGTATAAAACTATCATCAGAGGAGAATCATACATCTAATAACAAGGATCTTTTGATTCATGATTCTCACACAATAATATAAATCATAATAAGGAGATTAACTTTGATCCATGAGAAATATCCAATAAAAATGCGTTCTTTAATGTCTTTGTTCTCCAACCTCCTTTTCCTAATCTATATCTTTGTCTTTCTTTATCTTGTCATAGTTTTCTAATGGTTTTTTGTGAGAAGAATTTTATGGTTAAAAATAGAACCCTAATCCCCTTTTATTAACCAACGTCCATCAAGTTGGTTATCGTAAATTTTTATTTTATTTTATCTTTATTTTATTATGACTTCCCATAATAATCAATAGACCCTTATATTTTATTAAATCACATTTGGACTTATCATTATATTTTACATGAGTCACATAATATAATTAATTTAATTAATTAATTCTAACAAAAAAGTAATTTAACATGATGAAAGTTAATAAGTTAAAAATTGAATATTCTTTTCCTTTCTGCAATAGTTAGAAGTTGATTAAACAAATAAATAATTAAATTTTAAATGAGAGAAGATTTATAAATTTTACCTTGTCTTAATATTGATAGAGTTATATTCAATCTTCTCTTTTGCATAATTCTTATTCTCGTATATGAAACTCATTACGAGTTTTGAATCTAAATCCACCAATCAAAAACCACCATAAGAGGAACAACAACTTACAAGTATGTAGTTACATTCTTTCAAAACTCATTATCTAATACCATAGTTTCAACTTTCCTCCTTTTGTGAAGTTCCAAACCTATTTGCTTTTCACTTTTCATAACTAACATTTTCATCAATGATGCTTTCAATTTACAAAGATAATCTAGAATGAAATAATTCATGACAAATCTAGTCACACTAGGCTTTGCAAGTTTCTTATGTTTGTGAACTTCTTCAACATGCATAAACATAGGTGATGATCTTTCATCCCCTCTTTATAATGTTTGGTGGACCTTCAAATGCTTCTCAAAATCGTTAAAGATGAAATCAATACAAAAGTGGATAGCACATGGAGACCAATATAAATGATTTCATTTTTGTATCAACAATTCTCCAATGACCTTGAAATTTGTAGCATTATTAATAACCACCTACACTAGTAACCACCCGCATTATATTATATTTTCCAACAAATTTTACAACACCATCCAACATCTTAAATACTTAAATTGTCATTTTTAAGATGACTATGTATCCAATGAATAAAAAACACAATCCCGGTAAGAATATTCACCAAAAAATTACAAATTAGATGTTTTTTTTTTTGCCACTTTATCCATAAGATATAATTGTACAACTTATTATCTTTTATTTGTCCTTATAATCTTAAAAGATTATATCAAATTTTTCCATTACTTTAGAAATTTCTCTCTAACATCATAAGATGAATATTTATAACCAACACCATATTTCCCAATCATCTCACACTTTTCTTCAAAAGTTGAATTTCTAATAATATTAAATGACACTTGTGTAAAAAATTCAAGGTAATTGCTAAATGTATTATTTATAACCTTTCTTATATTATTTATTTAAAGTAATTTGTAACCTTCTTGTATTATAACCATTTTTTTATTTATAACCTTTCTTGTAATATTTATTTAAAGTAATTTGAACATAATGTATCCTTTCCTTTATTTTAAATATCTAACTACTACTTTGACTTTGTCTACTTTGTTATTCATCATCAATTTTCTATTGCTAAAAAGAGAACCAAACAGATATAGGATCTGCGAGAACCAAATAGATATAGAATCAAACTAGAAACGAACTAGAACTACAATAGCTGTAAGAATGAATAACTTATAGCGATAATGAGAATTGTGATGTGTTACAACACCAACAAGCTGCAAAAGTGATGACGAATGGAATTGGGAACACAAACATGAAACTGAATAATGATGACCTACAAACATGAACGACGAGAAAGAAAGAAAAAACAACAACTATGAGGAGAACTAAACACGATGACAAATGTCCTTCATTTTCATGAAATCCAAACTCTCAAACCAGATATGCTGAATGTAAAATGGGAGATTAAACCACAGCACCCATGTGCTTGAACATTTAACTCAATCAACTCAGTATGTTAAATAAACTCAACAAACACATGCTTGGAAAAAAATAACAAAAAGTGAACACCTTATTCACATTATTTCTTTTTCTTTTTCTTTCTTCGTTGATCTTATTATATTCTTAAATACATTCCAGTGCCTGTCAGAGTATTAATGTCTACTAGTCATTGTCAATCGAGATGGATTTAAATGCGAAAATAACCAATATAACGCCATGTTTTTTGTAACATGTTAATAAATTGTCAAAAATTTAAATATTATATTTTGTTGTACATTTCTGCTTTCCAAGAATAAATTTATTTATTTAAATAACTTAAAACAGAAAGATATATAATAAATTGACATGGAGGTAAGTAGTAAAATATGCAAGCGGTATAGACAATGAAATCCACATAAAACAAAATTACAACCCAATAGATCATCTTCAATTTTAGTTGATTAAAATTCCTAGCGAACATCAGTTTCAAATGAATAAACAGACTGCAACTATACATTTTAATATTATCTAATAGCTGATTAAAATAAGAACAGACAACCCTTCAATATACGTTATCTGAGAACAATTATTGGATCTGCTCTTCCCGGCAAAGTCCACATTTTCGAAGATGGCAACAAATAGCAACGAATTCATACAGAGCATTGAAACCCATCCCTACAGCACTATCTTCACTAGTCTTTGTTCCCCTTCCTGTTTTTAGAAATTTCTCTATCAATCAAACTTCACAGCTTTACCTCCTTGTTCCTGCTTTGTTGGTTCAGCTGGGAAATATTTTATGCCAACTAGATCACCCACTCTGCTAATAACCTATGAAAGGAAATCAATCACAGCAAATTACACTACAAAACATATCAAGGAAGTAGCCATTTTAAACAAATCCTAAGCATATCTAAACAAACAAAATGACAAGACATGCATACTAACCCCTGAAATCTGACACAAGCAGGGGAGAAGGGGAATATATTTTGAATTGTTGGTAGAATAGAAAATATTCATTTTCTTAAAATAAAAAAGAATAATGTTGCACAAAACCGAATCAGATAATGCATTGAGGGGTTTAGGAAGGATAGAAGTACGCAGTCTTTTCCCTACAAGCAGAGGCTATGTAGGGATTTAAACCCATACCCTCCAGGTTACAAGGCAGCGAGCGACCTCATGGTTGCACTAGGCCTCGTTCTCAAAATTGTCACATTAAACACTTAGGGTATTTTTCAAAAAGATAACAGTTGAAAGAAAATCCAAATGCACACCTGCAAGGCTTTGATAAGGTCTTCCTTTGAATGGGCAGCAGATATGCATATACGTGCTCTGGCCAGTAAAAGTGGTGTTGCAGGAAATGCCACTGTCACAACAGCAACCTGGATTCAAAAATTGTAAGCATTAATTAACAAAATCATTCTTATCCAAGATATAGGGTATGAACAAGGAGAATGAATAGTTGGACATTGATGTACTCACATTCTGCTTGAGACACTCCCTTGAGAAGGCAGGGATTTTGGCTGGGTTGTAAAGCATGATTGGCATTACTGGAGAATCATTATCTCCAAGAACCTCAAATCCCATCTTCTGCAGTTCTGACCTGAAAAAGTTGCTATTCTCTCGAATTTGTGCTAGTTTATGGGCACCTATATATAAACATCTTAATTCAATGCAAGGTAAACAAAGTAGATGAACATTATATGGTTTGATGCTTGTAAAAAATTGCAAAGCAAAGCAAAGCAAACCAACCTCTATTAGAACCATCCTCTCCAAGAATTACTCTAATGGATGATATTATTTGTTGTGCGGCTGGTGGTGAAATTGAAGTTGCATAAAGATGAGCAGGGCAAGTGTGCTTTAAGTATTGGATAAGGTCCTGACAGCACATACAAAAGTTCAGCATGAGAAAGATTTTGAAAATCCTAATAGTGAAATACAGAAAATACATGAGACGAACTTGTGAGACGAACAGGAAATACAAAGCAGAAAAGATCAAATTTCACTTGTAAAGAGAAAACGTCCCACAAGTGCTCCAACAGCACATGAATACAGAAATATTGCATAACTTCAGTTGTACTTGTATGAATCCAATGGGACCCTAATTAAGGTTATATGTTAAGAAAGGAAAGCTCATTCTTCAGATCTAAGAAAGACAGCATAGAAGGGGAATTTCACCAAAGAAAGATGAGTGGGTAGTTATTAAGGAGGAAGGTCTGCATAACAAGAAGGATATCATGGAGAGGAGGAAGGACCTGGTTCTCAAAACCCAATTCATGGCATCAAAAGAACATATCCCAGTCCCAACCTTTCCCTAAATTTTGTCTTATATGTCCCCTATTGTCCTTTTAGTTTTGTGCATCTCTTCCTTAACTCTTGTTGAGTTCTTGTGCCTCTCTAGCCTTTAGCACAGCACTAGGAATTGTCTAATCTAAGGTTCTACCCGCTTTGAATCTCCTGGAGTAAGGGCTTTAGGTCTTGTATCTCTTGATGGTGGTGTGATCATATATCTGCTCTTGTTGGCATATATAAAAATAAAAAATAAGTAGAAGATCCTGTCTTCTTTCTTGCTTTAAGAAAAATGCATTCCAAATGACCAGATGTGCTTCCTACCTATGCCTTGATATGCTTCCTAATAGGGCGTTCCCTTCTCCTTCCATAAGAAATGGAATGTTACAAACTCACCAGCACCCTTAGCTACAAGCTTCAATTGTACCAACCATGATCATCGGTTGCATGTGTCTCTTATGCCTCCCCAGATCTTGCTCATCAACTCTTCAGTTACCCTAGCCTAGAAAAATTATGTCTTTTGGTTCCTAGTTTCTCCACAATGAAGTCCCTTAGTACAAATCTTGTCAATTTGGAAAACATATTCATCATACTTGCAATCCTATAAATGGGTTGTCACCTTTTGGTCTTGTACTATTCAATATTAAAGGTTCTAATCAAGTATGTTAAGCTTTGTTTTTTCTATTAAGTCCCTTTTATTAATGATTATTATCATACGGTTATAATTAGGTGGTTTGGTCATAAACAGACCCAATTTGAAGGAGTCCTTTTGCCTTCAGCATAAGACTGGGGACTGTGTATCATATGTATTACTTTTAAGAACTCGGCCTTAGATCAACATTGTCCACTGCTTCACAATGACCGATCCATGTTGTGGTTTGGCAGCTTCAGATGTGTAAAACAAAACTTGAGCATCAAGGCATTTATGACAAGAATCACAGGCACACAAACCTCTAAAATATTAACGTTTTCCTACATTATCTGGGCACAGCAATTACAAAGGCATGCAAAACCCATTTTACCTCTGATTTCCACCATGATGTCACCATGGCCGTTTTTCAATAACATTGGGCTGGGCTAGATCTATATGTGAAAGAAAATCAACTAGTAGATATTGTTTGTTCATTTGGAAAAAGCTAGTCACTTGGAGAAGTAAAAAACAGCCAATTGTAGCTAAGAGTAGTGCAGAAACAAAATTTAGACTTATGGCTCAAGGAATTTGTGAAAGGAAGATGGATACAATGAATGTCGCAAGAACTCACGGTCTCTTATCAACTCCCTATATGATTGTTATGTGACAATGAGGCTGTCATAAGCATTGCTAAGAATCTCATTCATCATGAAAAAACCAAACATGCAGCTATTGATTGTCACTTCATCAAGGAAAAGGTGGATGGTGGAATGGTGAAGTTGGAACACACAGCTTCAAGCTCCCAAACTGCAGACACTCTAACCAAGGCACTGACAAAAGCTCAATATGAAAACTTAAGGTGCATGCTGGGTATGATTGACATCTATGACCCAACTTGAGGGACAGTATTGGAAATCGAGGCAAGAATAGAAAAGCCTATATTCACCTGTTTCCTAAATAAGAGGAACAAATATTTTAACTTATTGTACAACTAAAATTAGGCTAATATTCTAATCCCTAATTAGGATCCTGATTTATTGTACCCTAAAAGCTATTTAAGCCGTCTGTATCACACATTTCGGAATATGGAAAAACACTTTTACAATCTTACTATGACTGCCTATCTCCCTCATATATCTCCTTCATCTCTTCTTCGGACTTGGTGTCACTTGAGAAAACTGATTATGGTTCCAATACAGTGTATAAAGACACTGTTACTGTTTTATTTATAAAAAAGGGATATAAAAGAGAAGATATGGGCCTCAGCCCAAAACCTTAACCCTAGTCCAAGACACATATATACAAAAAACATAAGTTAAACCCTAAAAAATAGAACATATCTCAACAGTGTCTATTCCTAAGTTTACAAGTGACTGTCATGGTTAATCCCAATTCACAACATGCAATGTTGGAGGAAACGGTTCCTCTACATGCCAGCAACACTTGGAAACCTGTCCACTAACCTCTTGGCAAGACCATTATGGGTTGTCACTATTTATACAGTGAATATTGGCCCATTGATGGCAACATTAATTGTTTCAAGGTGCACTGCATGGCTAGAGAATACATTCAGTTTTTGGTATCAACAATGGGGAATCCTTTTGTCCCATGGCCAAAATCATCTATATTCATCTTTTTCTTTTTATGATTGTCATTTGTCAATAGCCTTTCTAATAGTTGGACATAATATTCCCTCTTGCATTGTGAGTTACAAGAAGAGGCTTAAAAGGATTGGCCCCCAGGTTCACTATTTCAGGTGATTGTTGCCTTGTCTATCATCTTTGTAATTTACCTCTGTAGTTTGAAGTAGTCAGTCACCTTGTGCCTATTTTGGTTGTTTTAGTTCTGCTTAGTTTGGCTTGACTCACTACAAGGCTAATCATTCATTGTTGTCCCTCCTATCTTCTTCTGGTCTATGCATTTACTTGGTCATCTATGCTAATGACATTGTCATTACTGGCAATGACTGACTATATCCACGTACTCAAATCTCATCTCCAAAGACACATTCAAACATAAGAGCCAAGTCTACTCAAATACATTTTGGGAATTGAGGTTTCCCAATCCTCATCTAGAGTTGCAATTTCCCTACAAAAGATTTTGACTAAGCCTGGTATGCTTGATTTTATCCCCCATGATACCCCTATGAATCCTAAAGTGAAGCTTCTACGAAGTCAAGGGGATCCATTGAGAGACCTAGGAAGAAACCATTGTCCCATGGGCAGACTTAATTGCCTACTATCACTAGATTAAACATAACATTTGTGATTAGTATGGTGAGTCATTCTCGAATGCTTCCTATGATAGTCCTTGGGGTGTTGTAATAAACATCCTTCTACACATTAAGAACCTACCATGTTCCAAATTACTATATGAAAACAAAAGCAATGTCAAAATTGTTTTTTACTTTGATGTTGATGAGGATCTCATGGAGGAGCAAAAAGAATAGCATAATTGTCCACAATGCCAATGCTGAATATCTTATTACAGCATTAGTTGCATGCGAGATTACATGGCATAAGCAACTTAAAATTTGGAGACACTCAAGATACTAGACATGGGTCAATCAAGCAGCTCTCCAAATTGCATCGAGTCTAACCTTGCATGAGCAACTAAACTCTGAGATTGATTATCACTATGAAAGAGAAAAGGAGCTATCAGGCAAATCACCACAGACTTTGTCATCTCCAGTAACCAACTGACAAAAATGTTTACAAAATGGGAGGCTCTCTGCTGACAACTTGATGTCAGTCAAATTCATATAAAAAGTTTTGTAACAAGCTTGGTTCATACAACATATTTGCTCCAGATTGAGGGTGATAGATAAAGTTCTAATTCTGTCTTCATGTAAATGGGGAAATATGTCATATTTCATAGCTGAAAGTTAGGGATTTCAATTTCATCCATTTTTTATTTCCTTGATTTTAGCATTGTTTATTATAAACAAAACACTGTATGAGTGGTCTAAACACATTTTCAGCAAACCTAATGAAACAGATAGAAAAGTATAATAGGATTGTTATTCAAATATTTTATAGGAAAGAAAATCTGAATACCACCAATTCTAACAGATTTTAGTAACTTCCTGCTGCCTCAGTTAAAAAGCACTAAATTTGAAGTCTAATATTTAAGAAAGTACCTTAGATCCTGCAATATAACCTCCACATGATCCAAAAGATTTGGTGAATGTTCCCATCATAATGTCAACATCAGCAGTATCCACACCCAATAGCTCACAAACACCTCGTCCTGTCTTGCCCACAGCTCCAATGCTGTGTGCTTCGTCCAAATATGTATATGCCTATAAAGCAATGAAAGTGACAAATGAACCAAAGTAAAATGGAAAATAAAATGTCACCATAAAAAGTCTTCCCAAATTCCCCCTAAATGTCTGCTAATAGGAAAAGGAGTGTTAACTGAAGGGAAACCTCTAATACTGCATCTTCTTCTTCCCCTTCCATGAAAACTTTTAAAGAAAAAAGTTGCGCAAGAATGTTGTCATGAGACTATCCAAAACTATGCCAGCAAAAGAAAGTACGTCTTCTTTCGCATGGCACGCCCATTTCAGTCAATAGCTTGAATGTAAGTTAAATGAAATACAGTGTTCCAATACATAAACCATTTAGAACATTTCATTCGGAAATTTGCAGGTAGCCTCATCCATGCAGACTTTCACAAACTGGATATTAAATACCAACCCCATAAAAAATAAAAGAAATACAGTTCATAGATTATATTAGAGCTACCATAATAGCCAACCTTATATTTTTTACATATAGATATGATCTCTGGAAGTTTGCAAAGCTCTCCTTCCATGCTGTATATCCCCTCCACAATAACCATTATCTTCTTCCATGGCCTATGTGTCCTTGGCTGTCCCTCAGCAATCTGTTCTCTTAACACTTCTTCTAGGTGAGATGGCACTGTAGGTAAATAGCCAGAAGAAAGTGAACAAATAATGCCGTGAGCTCTATGAGCAACATCATATTAACATAAATAAAGAGAAATATGAAAAAATAACCCAGCAGGTAACCAAGTGCTCAAACTACATGAAAATTAACCAATCATAAGCCAGTTGAGTTACCCTTTCTGTCAAATTCTGTTAGCTGAAATGAGGTCACTTTGTGAAATTTAACTATCCTATATATATTTAGGATGAATATAATGACATGGTAAAGAAACAGCAACCAAAATGACCTCCCAATCCATGAACTAAAATGAAGATTTTTCTTCTTGTAAGAGTATGTGAAAATTGAAAACCTGAGCACTCCATGACCAACCCATAAAACTTATTTTAGTAAACTACTAAGAACGATACTCGCCGTTGTGTTGAAAAACACGTATAGTTGCTCCTGATCCTCGTGCACCATTAACAATTGAGTTGTGGTTCAATGAATCACTAATAATCAAACTTCCCTGTGAAAAAAGGTTAAAACAATGAATAACCATGCAAACATTAATATCTCAACTAGAAAAAATCAAGAAATTTCACAAACCTTCCCCATCAAGACTGGAAGAATAGCAGAGTTTGTCACATAACCCATACCAAAAACTATAGCAGCTGGCTTCCTAACAAATTTTGCAACACACTCCTCCAGTTCATTGTGAAGGTCAGTCGTTCCTATTGGAGATGCCACATTCATCGTAATAAGACAATATAAAGATAAACAAACAAAACCATAGTTTAACAGCTAAAATATGAACAAAGATAATACCTACCTCCATCCACACGAGTACTGCAAGTGCTTGGAGAATACTTCTTCAATGTATCAACTACCCGCGGTGTACAGTATTCATCTGCTGCCGCAAATCCAAGATAGTTGTATGATCCCAGATTAAGGCATCTACTTAACTTATCAGTCCGTCTGCATCAGGAGAAAGGGTTACAACAAATAGGCATATAAATTTATAATGCTAGAGCTCTAAATTAGAAGTTAAAAAATTGATATGACAACCATTATTGTCGCTCTAATAGCAGTGCGATTTTGATAGTTTGCAAGAGATAGTACTTTAGACTTGGTTGTTGTAATTGTGTAAAAAAATATTCATATCTAAGATCTTGAAGAGATGAAACTATTCTTAAGCATCAGTTATCTATATATGGAAGTGAAGTGAATTATCTATTTATTAAAAAAACTTTAACTTCTATCTTAATCATATTTAACCCATTTTACTTCTTAAATTTACTTTATATAACTAGGTATTAAAGTTGTGTTTTAGAGTATGATGTGCACGTTATATTACTAAATTTATAAAAATTAATTGCAAACTTAAAGATTATATAATAGCATTAAAATGATGTCATTGTGATTTTTTATATCTTCGTACATATAAATATGTAGAAAACATGACTATGGTGTATGCATGTGTAAATGATGATGATATATATGCAATCTAAATGAGTTAATTCCCATGTAATGAATGTACATTATAACTTACATTTTGAATGTATAACTTGTGATATATAGAAGTGATAAGTTATGAATATTAGAATGAAATGAATATAATGTTATTTTGTGTAAATGTAATGATGTGTTGAAGTATGAGAAATACCAAGGGTATTTCCATATGTGTTGATGGGGTGTATATGGATATTGAATTTGGAATTCAAAGAGATATTCTGACATTATTGGTCAAATGAAAGGATCATGTGATGATAGTGGAGAGGAAGTATCTATGACTTCTCTTGTGGATGAAAAATAATTGCTACCCCTCTCAAACATAAAGACATATTTATAGGACCGAAGAATAAACAGAGGGTTATACTTCAGTGTCTTGTTATTATCATTGGAGAAGCGTTCCACTACATCAAACCACGCATCAGGAGCACTTGCAATTGGTCTCCCAAAACAGTCCTGCGAGAAACCAAAAACCAAAACAAATATAGAAAGAAGAAATGCTGAACACTGTGCAAGTCGTTATCACATATCTGCACTGAAATATCCAACACTGCAACATTGAAATTTGACAGTACTAATAAACATTCAATGTTTGAAATATAATGTACATACACCCATATTTCCCCTACTATCAAGGAAGCGAAAAGTGAAATAAAATAAAAACCTGAATGCGAAGGTACAAACGGCGAATATAAAAATCTTCGAGCCCTAAGCAGATCGGCGCATAACCCTGAGAATCGATGCGTTGCCATAATTATAAAGTAATAATGACTATAAATTTTTGAAATGAAACGAAAATGAAAATAAATGGAGAAATGAAAGGACCTGAAGATTGTTGGAGCTGCACCAGTCGAAGATTTTGCGGAAGAAATCCCTGAACTGGCCGAAGGCGAAGAGCAACCCGTAGCTGAAGTAGGTGGTCAACGCGGTGAGATACGGAATCGAGATCATGATGTGGGGAATGGGAGGGATCTGGATTCTGAGTTTGGAAACTCGTTTCGCGGGAAAACGGCGATCGGAGATCCGAACTCGAGTCTCGCGGACCCGCGAGGAAGAAAGAGGGGAGAGAAACGGTGGTGTTGGAAGACGGGAAGTGTTGGGGATGGGGGAGAGAGAATGTGATGTGTTGGGGGTGGGGAAAGAGAATACGATGTGTGTCGGGGAAATTAATGAAGAGGGACCATACAACGAATCAAGGAAAGAAAGAAAGGTCCACCTGCGGTTCCCTCCTCCAGTTATGACCAGATATTTTTTTTGTTTGATCGGATCTTTGCTGTAATGAAAAAGACTTTGATGACATGTTTTAAATAGGAAAATTAATGGGACTGCAGGAGTTTGACGAGAGTGAAAGAGTAGTTTTTTTTTTTTTTACCAAGAGAGGTAATAATTACTAACACAGATATCATTATTTTATTTTTTAAAATAATATTAAAAAAATTATTATTAACTTAAATGGATCCATTCTCATTTTGCAATCTTATTTTTTTCGTAGAAAGGATTATAATATATATATATATATATATATATATATATATAAAATTAAATATTATTATATTTATATATGATAATAATTAATAATTATATATTTATATATAAATATTTAAATGTTGATATATTTATATATTTATATAATTAGATATTAATATATGTTAATATTTATATATTTGTATATTTATATAAATATATTAAAATTATTTTATTTATTATAGTTAAGTAATATTAAAAATAAAATAAAATTGTTTTACACTTGATTAATTAAAAATAATGTTATTGTATTAGATAACCTTTATAAAAAGATATTAGAATTATAAAAAAATAATACATAATTGATAATTTATTTATTAAAATAAGATATAAAGAAATAATCGGTCATATGACTAGTTATGTAGCAAATGGGATGACATTAATTTTTTATGATGTCTATTTTTATTCTTATTTCACTAAATATTTGACGACTTTTTGAAGTTCTCTTTATTTCATGTTTTATACTCAAAATTTGTCCCATGTAAGATGACCAATAATCTTGATCCTTAATTCTCTGAACAGTCCGTCATAGACCTTATACAAGATTTATGTAGTTGGTAAAATTATGATTTGTGTTTGCCAGCACCAATTACGTATAAACACAGTAAATGGAGTTTTTGGAACTTATCACAATCACACCATAATTCATCTAATCTTAGTACAAATCAGCCTATTGGTCTGACTTCTCTTGGATCGATCATTTCCTCCATTAGAAATCTTGTACTAATTTGGTCAAAGTCAATCACTCAATGAGTGTTTGACTTTGAATGTGCATCCTCCAAAGCCTTAGTTGTTACTTCAACATATACATGTCTAGCAATAACCATGGCGGCTACTTCCCTACCTCTTTCGGTGAAGAACTTATTGTAACATATATAAGTTGTCATCACCAATGAGAAAATAGGAAGGTTTTTTATCTTTTTCAGGATGGAATTTATAACACCAAGTCAGTGGTCATGTGTTCCTAGTGTCAACCACTGTTCCAAACTAGTATTCACTTCTCCTTTAGGATTTCATCCAACCATGTTGCCTCCATATCTTTATTTCTTACTATGTTGTAATAGTAGAACAATTTGGGCTCAATCATTCCATATGTTTACGAAACAATTGAACATTAATAAGTTAGTAGGCTCAACACTCAATACAAAAATAATGAAATTAATGAGTTTAGGAAATAACAAAAGCTACCAATGTTCACAATATCTTTCTTAAGTGGACTTTTCTTAAAACTCCTCATGAAATTTTGTGCAATGTGTCGAATACAATACAAATGCATAAAAATTATTTTCAATCCAATCGTTGTCCTCTCTTTAGTAAGCACTTCATATGGACTCATGGTGATAAAAAATGAGGCATAGTCTATCTTGTAGGGTGACATATCTCCTTATGTTTTCAAAAAGAAGAACCAAGCATAAGTTGTTTTCCCCTCCACTATAGCGAAGACGATTGGGAGTATGTTGTGATGACTATCTTGTGCTATTGCAACCAATAAGGTTCCTCTATATTTTTCATAGAGAAATGTTTCATCCACTTGTATTAATGTATTGCAGTATTGAAAATCATCTATGCAAGGTTTGAAGAACTAGAATACCATAATACCCTTTTGAAGAAGATGTGGTCCTCAACTAGTTATTGTCTTTGGTATGTTGGATGCATGATCATCTTCCATATAAATCCAAGAATATATACTTGCATTACCTTCAGAAGATGTGACAACTTCTTCTACAACTCCTCCCAATTGTTGTATAGTTTCTTGATGGTTAGCTATTTTGCTAACTATGTCTTCCGATAAGTGATATGTATCCTTGTGTAGACTTGCTATGGGCAATTATTATTGACACAAAGGTTGAATAATCAAAATTCATATTTTCCTAGATTGTTTGAGAAATAAGGTGTGATGCCAACTTGTTATGATCGTGAGAGATTAATGGGAACATGCAAGTGTAGTTGTCTTCCAACTTCATTATTTGTTATTATTGCTCTCTAGTTTGCAATATTGCTCTGCACCTCTAGTTACACTCTGGATGAATACACTGCACTAAAAGCCTAGATTGACTTGAAATTTGCACCTTGTACGTGCAATGGTGCACGAAGTGGGACTTATTTATTGCGTCAATCACATCTTGTTTTTGTTAAAGTGTTGACCAACAAAAAATGTTTCAAGGGTATACAAATGTATCTTAGTTAAAAATATGGGCAAATTCAAGATCAATGTCATTGATGGTAGATTGAAATTGGGTAAATTGTTGGGATGGGATGTAAATGAGTTAGGTAGCTTCGATGGTAAGTTTAAATTATGGTTCGCCATAATCTTCTTCATTTGCATTATCAACAAGGATATCATCTTCGTTATCGCTGAAAGGGTCATAAGTTTCGGATGAAAGGCCTAATATGGCATGTTCTTCCATGGTTGGGTTATTGGGTGGGGTTGGATGGGTCAGTTCAAAAAGGTGGGGTTGGTTCAAAAAGTAGGATTGATCTTGTGAGAAGTTATGTGTATGTTTGAAAATCTGAATCCTAGGAAGTATAAAACGAATGATTATTTTGCTCTAGGTTTGATGGTGAAGGATGGTAAAAAGATTCAGGTTGTGGATAGTAAGAAGATTTAGGTTGTGGGTTGTGCAGTGGTTAAGGTACACATGAAGATGAGGAAAAAGAAATCAGGATTTGGGGTTGAGATGAATGACATTGAAAGTTAACAAATAAACTCAACAATAATGGGAAATACCTAAGATTTGTAAATGTCAAACATGGTGTTGATGTCATCGTCATTAATAAGTTCAATAGTCGTGTATTTGCATACCCCTGCACCGATTCTTAGTGGGTAGCGAAAGTGAAACGTTGTCACCTTTTCATGAGGTCATTTGTGTAACACATCAATGACCTTCTTTTTCAATCTTTGCATGGACATTCCTTTCGTAATAGAAAGAAGTTTTGGTGTTGATGATTGAAATGCAACTCCTTTGATGTCAGTGAAGTCTATGACATCATCACAATAAACAAGACAATTTGTGAAGACATGATTTTGTAAATGTAAGTGAGATAAAGTTTTAGATATAGGGCGGAGAGAGTTTCAGAGAAGGGTGGAGGAGAGTTTTAGAGATAGGTTGGAGAGAGTTTTAGAGATGGGTGGAATGGTGAAGTCTCTACCTTTGGTATTTACAAATTTGTCAAGTCCCAACCACCAAATTGAGATGGTCAATTCACAACCACAAAATTTAGGACGTCGAAGTTACAATCACCAAATTTAAGATGGTCAATACATAATCACCAAATTTAAGATGGTAAAGACATAACCACCAAATTTAAGACAATAAAAAAACAACCAACATATTTAATATGTCAAGTCAAGTCACACCCAATTTAATGCATACCCTGATTGAGGTGATGATGTGTCACACGTAAATTGAGTGACATGACAAGTCACTGAAGCACACATAGACTGAGGAGATGATATGACACACACTTACTAAAGAGTTGACATGGCACACACGTGGAACAAAGCTCGCATATACTATATTGTGCTCGTAGACTGATGACGTGACAACACACTAATCATAAGTCAATAAAAAACCCAATTTGACCACATGCTAACTGAGGAGATGATGTGGCACACACATGGAGTAGAGTTCACATGCACTCTACTATGGTTGCAAACCAAGGACGTGACAACACACTGATCATGAGTCAATCCAAGACCTAGTTTGACCATATGCTGACCAAGAAGCTGATGTGACATACACGTGTGTCGCAATCAAAATCACGACTGGACGATAAAATTAGGTTTCTAAATGAAAGAAAAAATAATAGAGTCGCCACCAATATTTATTTTAAGGAAAAATATCGGAAAAAAACCTCAAAAAGAAAAGAAAGTGGTATGCGAAATAAAGATTGAGTTCAAGAGTCGATTATGTGCAAGGGAGGTATTAACACTTTACAACATCCGTTCTAAAAATGGTTACCTTTAATTAGACATAAAAATTTAAATATCTTAAAATTATTTATTTTATCCCCCAAACTTTTATATTGATTAAATGTTGCTACTAAAACTATAAAAATATATAAAATATTATATATATTTTTTTTATAGTTTTTTGAAAAGAGTGGTTCAACGTCTTTAGGTTGTCTGATAACCGGGTTGGACCTAAAGGCGAGGTTTTCGAAAAAGGTTCAAGGAGTCGCCATAGTGTTTTAACCTTAAACACTGAAAATGGTGAAAAAAAGAAGAAGGTAGTTGTTTTAGAAAAAACTAACTTTGGTCATTACAACCAGAGTCGGGTAAGGGAGTTAGTTATATGTGGGAAAGGTGTTAACACCCCACAACGCCCCTTTCGGGTTCCTTATGATGGACTAGTTTAGAAAATAAATACTTAAAGAAATTATGTTTTTACCCTATTATGCTATCTACTTGCAGAATTTAGATGTCTACATGACCCTATTATCTAATACACACAAAGAGAGCGATAAAAAAAGTAGTTAAAGAGAGAGATAATAAGGAAGGAACCTCCGAAGCAAACTTTATAAATGTTGAACTTGAGGACGTTTTTTGGCAGTCCCCGCACTCTACAGAGATACTCCTCCCTCGATCAAAAAATAAAGGAATCACCCTACCGAGGGCCGGATGTCTCCAAAACGGAGATCTCCTTAACCGATTTCTACCTTAACGGAAATCGAAAAATTCACTCGAACTCTAGAAAAATGCTCAGAATCACTCTAAAGTGCCAAAAAGCTTCCTAGAGAGTGGCAGGAGTGAAAGGTGTGAAATTTCAAGGAATGGGGTTCCTATTTATAGGGAACCGCACCAGGAAAAAGTGAACAACTATCTGGACTTAGTGGACGGTCGTCCATGGCAAAAAGTGCCCATGGACGGTCGTCCACACTACATGGACGGTCGTCCATGGCCAAAAGTTGTCATGGACGGTCGTCCAAGCTAAGTGGACGATCGTCTGACTATCCTGGATGATCATCTGCTATCTCCGGCGGATTTTCTGATTTTAATTGCCTCTAAAAATTCTTCCTATCTTAAATGGAACCTAGAAAAAGCTACTATAGACTTAACAAAGTCTTGACCATCTTCGAAACGGGTTATCTCTGGCTTTATTGGAGAGCCGGACAAGATTTGGGGTCTATAGAGGGTAAGGAGGAAGTCTCCCTTCTAGTGAAGCTCCTTGTAATCCTCTTAGGGATAACCCCTCCAAGATGAAGTGTTTTTAAGTTTGTTGTAGGTTGTTAGTAATTTGGTGTAATTTTTGTTGTAGGCTTATATAGCTTTTTTTTTTTCAATGCTTTAAGTACTTTTAATGTTTCATGATTATGTAATTTTCATGCTTAAATGAACTAAGTTATGTTAACGTGTCATTTTAAGCTTTTTCTACTACTTTGGATTGATTTTTCTTCATTGTATTATTGATGGTTCAATTTTCATACTCACATCTTATAACTTATTACACGTTGGTATGATTTCCATTTCTCTCAATTTTCATTTGTAACTTAGTTTTCCATCTTTCAGAAGTTTTAGGAGAAGGAATAAAATATGAATTAATATACACATGTTATTCTTGATTGTAGTAAGTTGCAAACCAATTTCAGTTTATTTCTCTAGACATCTTATTTGTAGTTATTTTATTGTTCAAGTTTTAATCAAGCTTTGAATGTTGGTTTGATCGTCTTCAAGTTTTATAATGTTTGAATGTCGTTTGATTCTAGTGTTTCTTTTTCTCCAAACTTAGTGTTGTTATAAAAGTTTTCTTTATTTCAATTTGCTTGAAGCACAACTTTTAATTTATGTTGTTTAAGTTCGCTTTCCTTGATTTTTTGTTTTATTCACTTCGATATACTTTATTGTCTTGTTTGATTTACTATTGTCCTATTTTCATTATTTTTCTTCAATTTATTACTTTATAGTTTTCTTTGATTTTTATTGCTCTCTTTGATTTATTACTTTTCTCGATTTACTGTTTTCTTCGATTTCAATTTACTACCCTTTCTCGATAGTTTGCTTAGATGACTAATTTTTTTCTTTGATTATTTCTATTAATTTCTCTTTCCTTGCTCAGTTTTCTTCAATTTGTTGATTCTTAATGTATTGGTAATTGAAATGGTAAAAATTGAGATCAAGATGGTAAAAATCGAGATAAAGATGTTAAAGATCGAGAGGGTGAAAATTGAGGTTAATAATAAAGGTCAATATTAAGATGGTAAAAGATCGAAAAGATAAATGGAGTTTGAAACAGTAAAAGATCAAGAGGATAAAAATAAAAATCGATATCAAAAGGGTAAAAAATCAAGATTGAGATGTTAAAGATAAAAAAGGTGAAAATCGAGATTGAGATGATAAAAGATCGAAATGGTGAATTGAGATCGAGCGGGTAAAAATTGATATTAAGGGTAAAAATTTGTTATCAATGAATTTGTTGCTATAAAAACTTTAGACCTAGACCAAAGATAATATCATGAAGATGTCAAATAAAGTTCATCAAATCCTCAATGTGATAAGTTATGTAACTTATTATTTTTTTTATTTTGTTTGTTACTTTGGATTGATTTTTCTTTATTTTAAGAAAATATTTTGAATCAAATTTGTTACCATTGAATTAGTTGTTGTGAAAACTATAGATCAAGACAAAAAATCATATAAAATATTATTACGAAGGTGTCAAATAAAGTTCATTAAAATCTTGTGACAAGTTATTTAACGTGTCATTTTTTACATCAAATGAATAAGTTATTTTTTATTATTTTGCTATATAATTTTTTTAACAAATTTATAATATATTTTTTTATTCTCTCATCTAAGATGTTTTCTTTCAAAGGGAATGAGGTGTACTTTAAATAATAAAGTATAATTATAACTACTAATTTTCTGATCAATAGTTTATATTTAATAGATTTGTAGATTGTTATAGCTTGCATAATGTGATAATTTAATATAATAATATTTACATTTATCTTCTACTTCAAATAATAGCTTGTTATAGTTGTTTACTTCAAATAACATTAAAGAAGTAAAACCATTTTTGTTTATAATCCAAATGTGTACTCAATTCCTTAAAAAACACTACAAAAAAGCCATAAAAGTTATTAAACGTAAAAGTCACACGCATAAGAAGAACTAAACACTATCTCCTAATTAATTTGCGATTTAATATTTTACACATAGATTAAGAATAATATATTTCTTTTTCATACATTTTTACGAAAATAATTTGATTCTATCAATCAACGCATTGCATATACTCCACTCATTTATTTATACCAATATATAAAGAAATATACTTTTTTAAAACAGTTTTCTTTTTTCTTTTTTTGTTACAAGACAATTATCCTTTAATAAATTAAAACAATTTTATTATTATTTGATAAATTATATTATTTTACACATTTTCTATTGAAAAATAACCGCTCCACTAAAATATAACTAAAAAACACTGAATGGATTCATGGACAAAATTCTCTCACTATTAATTTTTTTTAATTTTATTTCTTCACGTAATATTTTTTACGTGAGGATAAATTTGAAAAAAAAAACGATTAATACCGAGAACTTTAATTATTTGTGACAAATTACAAGTAAAAATGTAGAAAAAATGTTATTATAAAAAAATTATCAAAACTTGGAAAAATAATTTTATGGTTCTTAATGAGAAGTCAGACACACCCAAAAATTTATGATTTTGTTTTTCCTCTCCACAATTTATCAATTTAGAGAGAAATTTAACGAGAAGAAAACACGTATACTTTTTCTTTTCACTTGAGATAGTATTCTCTCTGTTGTTTTTTTTTGCACTCATGAAACTATGAGAATCAATGAATCTATTTTGAGAATATAGAAGAATGTTTGAACAAATCAATTTCACAATCGCACACACGACACACGTACGTGATTTTCACTCTCTGAACGATGATCAATAATAGCTTGGCCATGTACGCGAATTTCCCCTCCGAAGAAACCGAACATTTGTGTTTTATAGACAACCTTGGTGGTGGTAGTTTCATCTTAAACACGAACTTGCTTTTTCAGTTTTTATTTTTATTTTCTCATCACATTTCATTTTTATATTTGGTTTATGTGTGGTCGTTGCAGCACCGTGAAGCATCCTATGCCTAGCTCGCGAAGCATGAATCTTATTCCATAATGTGTTGCCAAGAAACGCTTTGTTTCGTCTTTCTCCGATCCTTTTGGATATAAATTACAGTTCCTTGTTTTTTCCTTTGGTTCTCTTTCATCCATCTTTGGGATTTGTTTGGTTTGGTGAAAAACAAAAATGGCAACTACGGGTTGGGAGAAAACGGGTCACGGACACCATAGGGAAGTGATTCGGATAGAACGTGAATCGGTTATTCCAGTTTTGAAGCCTCACCTAATCATGACTTTGGCCAGCCTTATTAGTATGTTCTTCTCAAACACATTTGTTTCTCTCATTTACTGTACTTCTCAAAAACTTATAGGTATAACTTAATGTTCTCAAAAACTTACAGGTGAAAAGCCCTATGACTTGATATTTTAAGATTTTGAGTAGAAAGTCATTTTCGTATTTTTTTTATATGATTAATTTTTTTAGAATGTTACTGATGGTAACCCATCTGAAATACCTAACAAGTGCGAGCTTGTAATTTGCCTTTTCTATTTCGTGAAAAAACTTGGCCATAGATCTATGATCCTGTTTGTTTTGTACTGTTTCTGAAATTACCGAAAAATTATAAGCAGATATGGCTGTGACCACAATATCAGATTGTGATTTTAAATTTCAGATAGTTGTTTTCTAATTGTAGAAGTTAAGAGAAAATGCAGTGGACGAGGCTGCTGTTGTAATATTGTTGCAAAGACCACCAATATCACAATAATGAAGCAGTAATTGTAGTTGAAACTATTGCAGCAGCAATTACAGAGATTTTAGTAATTGAAAGCCATGCTCTCTATACAATGTAATTATTAATTGATTTAATTTTCAATCTTTGATACAATGATTGTGTAAAATATTTGAAGTTGCAATCAATTGAAAATATTCAAATATGATTGAGTTTAATTTGTACGAACTAAATGTACAAAAGGTTTTAAATGTATAAACCAATTAGAAATCATAATAAATAAATACAACTTTTAAGGTAATTATTAAAATTAACAAACTTACTAACTAATGCAAGAAGACTTCAATTCTGTCACTACATACATTATTCACTCCTAGACTTGAAAATCGTCTTTCTGCACATCACAATCTTCATAAAAATAAAATAAAATATATAACTATATCAAACATGAGAATCCATAATTGGATAACAATATAAATCTTGACTCGGTAAGTGCAATCTAATTAAATTCTTACTAGTTATTGGTGCAGTTGTGGTGATAAAAATTTGCAGTTTTTGTTTAGATGAAATAATATAGAAACAGCCTTTCTCCTACATCCCCCTTCCAAAGCTACTATTCTCTTTGTAGACTTGAGTCATTTGGGTACTATGTGCAGAACATAGTGCTGACCGACTTGAATTTTTGAAGCTCTGCAAGAGAATAGAGTACACAATCCGAGCTTGGTACCTTCTACAGTTTGAGGACATGATGGTATTCTTTTCTTGACCATTTTTTGTGATACTAGTCTAGTGATATGGTTGGAGCCTGATTTTTTTCTCACCTCTTTTTGTGCTTAAAGCAAATCTATTCTCTCTTTGATCCTGTATCCGGGGCCGAGAAGTTGGAACGGCAGAAGTTACCCAGTGAAGAAGTTGATGTTCTTGAACAGAATTTCTTGGTTTATCTTTTCGAGGTAATTTGGATACTTTATGAATTTCCATTGTCTACAGCTATCTTTGGGACATCTCATTTATTTATTACAGACTTTAACCGATGGCAATGATGGTTTTAGTAGATAAATTAGCTAAAGTTGTTTAATGTGTCATCTATAGATTTACTTTACAACTTTATTTTGTATCTCGGGCAATGACAGTTAATTGGAAGCTATTTAACTTCTCTTATAATTTAATCAGTTTAAAAATCCTTCATTCTCCCCTCTGCCTCATAATGAAACTGCCTTAAAATAAAGGATTAATTTAATGATAAGGTCGAGAAAGTATAAGGGTTGTGACTACGAGTGGATAATTTTATTTTTTTTCAGTTGTTATGAGAATGAAAAGGAAAAGTGTGAAAGTGGTTAAAAGCCTTAGTTTGTGAAGTAAACACTCTCAAAGCATGAAAGGGTAAAATGTTTGAGCTTTTGAATTCCTTCCATTTGAAATGATTTAATAGTTCAAGTAATTTCTTTGGATAAGGTAATTCAAATTTATTGAATTTTAATTTTTTTATTTGGATAAAATATTTTAATTATTATCAAATATAAAAATTATCATTACTAGATTTATAAAATATGTCATACTCATAGTATTTGATCCTAATCCACATGAATCAAGTTAGGTCGAGATGAATTATAACAGCCGAGATCGAAGGTCGGGACTAGTCAAGACAAATTGTATTGGTCGAAAAGATTGGCTTAAGTTAGGTTAGGTTAATATGTTGAGATGAGTCGAGTCATGCGTTAGGACATATCAGGTTATGTGGGGATGAGTCAAGTTGTGTTAGGATGAATCTATCTATGTTAGGTCAAACGGGGTCAAGATGGGTTAGGTTAGGTCGTAACCAAATAGAGTATACTAAGATGAGTCAAGTTGGGATAGGTTGGATTAGGGTGAGTCTAGCCTACTTTTGATAGTTGTATCGAACTTGGTCAAAAAGGGTTAGATCAGATTAGGACAAATTAAGTTGAGATTGGTTGAACTAGGTCGAGATGAGTTGGACAAGTCGAGATGAGTTGGACAAGTCAAGATGGGTCAGACCAAGTCAACATAGGTTGGATCAGGTCAACACAATATGAACTAGGTCAAGATCGATTAGATTGAAATGGTCCAAGTAAGGTCAGAATGTGACAAGAACCAAGTCATGACAAGTTAACCCGGGCTAAGCCATGATTATGTGAATCAAGTGGTCTTAGAATGGGTTGATCTGAGTCTATCGATGTTGAAACAGATCAAGATAAGTGAAAAACATCAAGATAAGTGAAAAACATCTCAATTGAGATTGAGTTAAAGAGAAAAAAAATGAAGACAAAAAACATAAATTTGAGAAAGAAAAAAGACGGAGAATTTCAAATTCTTATATTTTTAGGTAGAATTTAAATTATCTTATTTTAAATAATTTAAATATCCTCATAAATTTTTAGAATTTTAATTACCCTCTATAAATTTTTCATCCAAAACAATGCGAGGCAATGTTATAGCCTAGAGGAAGGTTTTAAATTGCAGTTGTGGTTGCAGGGTTATTGTGGTGTCTGATGTTGCACGAAATTACAATCAAATGCGGCTAAAATTGTGGTTGCAATTGCAATTGAATGGTGGTGACTGACTCCTCAATCCTTCACATTTAGCTGAAATCGCAGTCACTAACAGTTTTTTAAAACCTTGGCCAAGAGGCTAGGAAGTATAGACATGATATGGGATATGAAACCACGGAGACATGAAAATATGATAAATTTTACAATTTAAGACTTGACAAGCCTATAATATATCAAAAAGAATTCATGTTTGTTGGAATTGGAGATCACTCGTACGTTGAAATCTCAGGTCAACTAAAAATATAACTAAATTGTAATATATAACTAGGGTACAAACTTTATCTCACAAGCTAATTTTCTAGGATTGAATTAGGCCTACACCTACATTCTAATATGGTTTCAAAATCTATCCTAACCATCTATAAATACCAAAGTTATCCATGTTAATGAGATTTTAAATGTTATTCTGGTATCTGAAAATTCTGACTTAATGCAGGTGATGAAAAAAAGCAACTTCAAGATTGCTACTCAAGAAGAGATTGATATTGCACTTTCTGGACAGTATCTTCTAAATCTACCTATTACAGTTAATGAATCTAAGGTTTGCAACAACAATGTTTCTATCTTTTTAAGTCAATATACAGGCATAATATATGTGCCTTTAATGACACTGGTCACTTTGGATGCTTGATTGTGCTGTTAACAGTTGCTGATCTCTGTATTTTGCTGATGTAGCTTGACAAGGTTCTTTTGAAAAAATATTTTCAAACACGTCCGCATGATAACCTTCCAGATTTCCATGAAAAGGTATGCCTTTAAATTTTAGTACAAGGGGCACTTATCCACTAAGGTACCTTTGGTGTTGTAGTGTTCATCGTTTTGCTTTGTGCGGTAGAGAGTTCTGGTGTTTGTTTGCCAGTGGAGGTTGAGTGAAATGAATTAAACCATGCTATATGGATCTCTTTAACGAACGTGTCATCATCATCCATCTATTTGAAATTTTGATTTCCTTAACTATGGGGTGGTGTTTTCATTAGTTCCATAATGTTCTCGATTCCCATTCTTATCAATCTAGTACAACTTCAATTTCCTTAAGTGGTGGTCAAAGTTTTCATACCCACAAACTTTCCTTGGTGGTGGGAGAATTCACAAAAGTTGATAATCTAGGTCTGTTTTAGATGACTTTTGACGTCCTAACAGTATTCTCCACTTCATGAAATGGTACAGAAATCAGAAAGGTTCATTATAGATGACATGATCTTATAGTTTGAAACACCCCATTGCCTACTCCCTCTTATTATTCTATTTGAAAATTATTTATATTTACTGTTTAATATTAATGTCTGAAGTTGGGAAGGAAGAAAATAAAATAAAATGAAGCAGTACCCGAAAATATAAAATAACTTACGCATCCATCTTGTATATGTGGGTTTAGAGAACTAAGTAAGCAACCTCACCTCAGACTAAACCAGTGCTTGCATCAGTTCATATGCACAGAGTGGGGTAGGGCATGATCAAATATGTACATAGTTTACCTTCATTTTATATCGAGACATATTAAAGAATCCTTGATAGATTCACAATTTCAAATTACAATTTTTGTTACTTGTTTAACTCATAACTACGGTTGATATTAGTTGGCTTTTATTGACATATTTATTAGTTTGATGCTGGACTGCAGTTAGGAATGCTAACACACTAGAGAATTGTGCCTTTTATTTTGTTGAATCAGAACAACTTATAATTGACCATAACAAGCAGGATGGACATTGAAACAACAATCATAATTGTTTGCTTACTCTATTTAAATCTTTTTGTGAAAGGGAAAGCTAACATATCCTGTTACGTTAGTATATTATATTTCGGCGTGGCATTGGAATTGATCAAACGACTGATTTCTTCATCATGGAGAAAGTGGACATGCTAATAGCACGGTTTTGGTCATATATACTAAGAATAACCAGGTAAGGAACACTCATACTGGGAATTCAATCTTATTAAATTATGTTCATGAAGAACTCATCATGCAAATCATTGTAGATGTGCCATGGCCTGTTTTTAGGCTTTATCTGCAGAAAACTATAACCCAAGGTTCTTGCAGGTTGGAGAAATTCTTTTCCAGAAGGTCAAAAGGGCGCAATAAAAAGGAGTCCAAGAAGGACGATGGATTTAACTTGGAATCAGAAGATTCTCAGGATGATGTATATGAACGGATACGCCTTGAAAAAATGCCATTGAGGTTTTACTGAATCTCTTTGTGTGGCGTAGTTGTAGCTTCAGCTTCTGTTGTTATATTCTTTTCTTTCTGGAGTAGAACTTTTCATACTTCATTTACATAACATTCATCCTTATAATATGCTTATGGCTGCCTCTTCTTGAAATAGCATTCACCACTCAGTCTGATGCATTCTGCTAATTTAGATTTCTGTAGTGTAAATCCTGAATCTTAGCAGTTTCCACTTTCAAAAATTTAAATTGTCACCTTTTATCAATATAAATAATGGTTATTAACTCTGGAATCATCACAATTAACAGCAGTACGGCCTTGGAAAATTTTAAAAATTAACGTTCACAACAGCAGTCCTCCAGTATAAAGTTTGAATATATATTTTTGTAAAGATTTGGAAAATTATTCTTATTTATTAAATCTCAATCTTCCAACGAGAAATCCAATTGCCATTAGTTTGAGAAATGCATGCTACTTTATCTCACAAAACTGCTGAGCTAATGCATGTAAACCGTTTAAACTTAATGTTTGATTATCTTGCCATTCTTGAAATTGTTTTCTAATTTCCAGATTCGGTAGTTTGCTAAACAAGAACACAATCCAAGAACCTACATTTCAGAGGATAATTGTTGTCTATAGGTAGTGTCCACTGTATCTCTGATCTTTACCATGCTAGTTTGTTAAATAAAATTCTTTGATTGTAGCATAGACTGAAAATTATAGACCTGTTTGTTTATATTATCATGAAATTAAAAAAATGATAAAAGATATTTCTCTTTATATATAATTATCAGTCTTTCCTTGCATTTCTGATCTATATGTTTGCTAGTTTGTGAGAATAAAATCCTTTAATTTGAGACAATGATAATTATAGAGTTGTTTGTATATCTTTGCAAGAAATACCTAAAAGACTATTCTGAAAAATCTCATATAAGTAATTTGAGTTATCTTCGGAGAGGGTTTGGATACATGTAAGTAATGCTAGATTGGAATTAATTAAGATGCAAAAAATCCATGAGTGGTTGTGTTCTAATGAATTCTAAGATGTAAATTCTTTCTTCAGGCCAGCTAGCTCCCATTCGAAAAAAGAAAGAGCAATTTTTGTGAAGCATTTCAAACACATTCCCATGGCTGATATGGAAATAGTTCTAGTGAGTCAACCTCGTTTGTGAAACATTTCTACAACATTCCAATGGTTGTGTTATTACCTAGTTACCCTTTTCCCCCGATGAGCATAAGTGATGATTTGGTCTCAACTTTTTACTTGACAGCCAGAAAAGAAAAATCCTGGATTAACTCCAATGGATTGGGTCAAGTTTCTTGGATCTGCTGTAGTTGGGCTGGTTAGTTTTTCAATCACAAGATTGAGTTTTTGTACACCATAGTGTTTTGCTTTTTATCATCTTGTAGTACTGCATTTAATGTTTTTCTTCACAGGTTGCGGTAGCTAGTTCTCTTGACGTGGAAAAAGCTAATTTGCGGGTCATTGGTGCCGTTCTTTCCACAGTACTTGGATATTTTGTCAAGACATACTTCACGTAAGCATGTTGTTAGCTGCTTCCTTCCCTTGGAAGAATATGCTTTGCATTTATCAGTTTGAGATTTTCACCTGTATTGCATTTAGCTCAACAAGTTGGTCCTCTTTATATAGCATTCAACTATGGTGGTTAATGAGGTAAAGAAAAATGTTAATTTTAACATAGATCTTCTAAAACCACTAAAATCATAAACAATTTACACTTTCAAGATTTAAAAAAAATTAAGTAAAAAGTAATTTACAATTATTGTTGTTTTTTTTTTTTTTGAGAAAATATTGTTTATGTTGATTAATATAGAAATCTTAGCCAAATTATCAAGCTTCGGAACTTGGAAGAATCTTGATTAAATCAGGTGTCAAAAGTTCCAGAAGTTAAATTTTATTGATGAAACCTTTGAATCATGTTATATTATCTATATCTATCTATCTATATATATATTCCAAGTTTGACACTTGATATCAGTAGATTCTGTCCCTATATATTATGTATGGTCGAAATTCCCGAAGTTTGTGTTTACAAGTCTGTGGATGAATCTATTATCCAATGTGGCTACTAAATTTTAACTTATCATAGGTTCCAACAAAACTTGGTCGAATACCAAAATTTGATTACACAGTCAATGTATGACAAACAACTGGACAGTGGAAAGGGTACACTTCTCCATTTATGCGATGATGTCATTCAACAGGAAGTAAGTGCTACTCTGATGTGCTTTGTGTCATTATATTTGTTTTTACTTTTTTTAATTATTTCCAATAAAGTAGTATCGATGACTTTTGTTAACTGGTTTTGCCGTTACATGAAAACAAGACAGGGATTGTGATGGAACAAACTGTAACTGATAAATATTTGTCACCACAATCAATAACCATGACTGTCTAAAATTTGTCAGAGGTCATATGACCTTGCCAAAGGCATTAAACTAGCTAATGCATGAAACTCATGATTAGGCAAGCCCATTACAAATGAGATTAAAAGATAGGGGCTTCGAAAGACAAAATTTAAGAAAATATGTTTTTACTCAAGTTAATTATAAACCTAAATATTATGTATAAATTACAGGGCATATAATAATGTTCTCAAAAATAAAAGTAACAGACGTAGAGGTTGGGATCAGGCGATCCCTACAAAAGATGTAAGGTTTGATATTCCAACCAGTGAAATCATACCATAGTATTTGATTCGATTGTTCAGGTTTTGTTTGGAGAGTACGTTACATACTAGTTTTATATTTCGTTTTAATCTTCTACCTATATTTTTTAATCTGTTTTAGTTCCTAGAAATTTTACGACAGAGGCTAGAAGGAATATAAAAAGTACATGTATAGAGACTAAAGCAAGTAATTTTAAAGTATAAAGACTAAAATGTAAAGAGACTAGTTAAGTAATTAAACTTTAGTTTTAACATATCATAAATTCATAATGGAGTTCATACTAGACTCAATGTGATGCTGTCTTCTCAAGAAATTCATTCGACAGAAAATTCATAGACTGACTTTGTTTTACAGCAATCTTTGGACTGTTAATTAGCATTACTGTGTTGGTAATGACTTTGTATACGAACAAATTGTGATGAAAACTTAATATATGAATCAACAATTACTTTTTTTGTGATTCATATGCAATGATTTATTGTACTAGCAAAGATATTGCCTCCACTCTTCAGATTGAAAAGTGAATATCTTTTTGGAAGATCTGCTGCTACCCGTTTTGAGTTTTAAGCCAGGGTGTGATTTTGCAGTATGTAGCTATGCATCAGCCTAACATTTGAAACTGACACTGATCTTAAGATCTTAATGTGCAGGTTAAAGAGGTAATAATATCATTTTTTATTCTGATGGAGCAGGGAAAAGCTAATAGACAAGTATGAACATCAATATCAATTAAGCAGACTTGTTCTCTTTATAATTTGGCAATTTTAACCAAGGAAACAAGAGTTTTGTCTCATTTACTCATTTATATAAGCTATATATGGTAATGTGAATCAGGAACTCGATAAATGGTGCGAGGAGCTACTCAGAGAAGAGTTTGGGGAGAACTGCAATTTTGATGTGGATGATGCAGTTCAGAAATTAGAGAAGTTAGGAATTGTCACCAAGGTGAGCTTTCCTTCCAAAGTGATTGTGTCTTTGGTTTAAGTATATAATGCTGCAATACTTCCATGACCTGTTTAATACTTTTGTTATCACTATGTTCGGTAACTTGATTGTAAAGCAGTTGAGGAAATATTGTCGATTTTGATACCTTGTCTTTTTGTCAATTGGAAAAGTTCACTCTATGATGCATAAGTTATGTTCATTACAAAAAGTTTAGTATATAATTTAATGACAATGCTATTATAATATAAAAATATTACATTAATCCAATCATAAAATAGATAAATAGGTAAACAAAAAAATTAATAAGTTTAACACCTTTTTATTTTGTCATTTTCCATTTTGTCAAACTCACTCGCCCTTTTTGTTTTTCACTTCTTTTTTTCCTTCCTATTTCTAATTTAACAAAAAAGGAATAAAAGTCGCATATTTCTCACTTTTATTTGTTATATATATATATGAGTCTGATATAAAAATCAATTGAATCAGCAATCATGTTACTCCTTGTCTGGTGCATTGGAAGTAGGATAACATGCTAATTAATTGATTTTTATATCAGACTCATATACATATATATATATATATATATATATATATATATATGTATCTTTAACTGAATATGTTTATAAAACTAGTAGGAGATAACTTTCGTTGTTGTTACCTAAGACACGTTGATAAGATGATTAAGATATTTTACTTGACTGAAAGCTCCTTTGCATTCAGGATATCATTAACCGATACCAGTGCGTTGGGCTGAAACGGGCTAACGAGATCATAGGCACCACCACTGAAGAGCTTATCCTTAAGGCAAGGCAGGGGGGAAGCACGTCTCCATGATGGTGGATTGGAATATTTGTTAATAATAATGTTATGTCCCATAAACTTTTATCCTCATAATTTCACAGAAAGACCTCCTCATTCTTCATCTTCTTTTGAATCTTGCCAATGTTCCTAAAACCATTAGTAACAAATAAAGGCTTGGTCAATTTCATTAGTATAGTTTATTGACATTGGTAGGGAAATAGGATTTATTACCTTAAATACACTGCATTTTTTATTTTGCAGACCTCGCCCACATGTTTATGCTTCACAAATCACAACCGAGATCAATAGCATAGCAAACATTCCATGATCTCATGAACGCATTTCTGAATAATATCTGAAGTGCAGTTTAAAAGAGATGTGTACAAAACTTTAAAAAAAATTATATTTGTCCATTTAAAATCTATTAAACCCAGAATGCAGGCTATAATGCCATTTCGATATCTACTACTATTTTTGTCACACATTTGAAACACAGTTCGATTTGGATATTCAAAATAGTAGTGGTACAATGTGACACTTATCATCATAAAAACTGTACCTAACAATTGAAATCTAGCATAGGAGGACCACAGTTAGCTGTTAAATAACAGTTTCTGTTAGAATCTAGCAAGATTTTAAATTGCATCAAGACTGGCATCCACACATGTCCAAAAATAGATAGAAACAAACATTGAAATGAGAAAACAACAAAAGAAAGGGCATATATCATGGCTATAACCACTCAAAGGAACCCATAAAAGCTACCAAACTAGAAATGAATTTTAAGCAAGACAGATTATATAACAAATGATAACATCACAAGTCTACAGTAACATTAGGAAGTACACCATGATTCCACAATAATTAATGATTAGAACCTTCAAAACATTAGTCATATAATAGAGCCTAATTTCATTCTCAGACATCAACACCCGAACAAACAAATTTACATAATTTCATGGCAAGTAATTGGCCAGTAGATAGCAAGGTGCTTTCTAATACATGAATAACTTGACCACCTTATATTTTTTACTAGTGAATCAGCTAGCTAACTAGTTTCAGCAAAACAAAAAAATCTAGCTAGTTAGTCTAAACAGGTAGGACCACCATGATCTAGCAGTGATTCTATGACAAATAAGATTATTAGTTGTAAACTTGTAATTTGTAAAACCGCGTACTAGTAAGTCACAACCCAGTGTGCCCCAACCGCATTACACCATGATTGCAAACACCAAGGTTTGAATTTGCAGTTACAATCACAGATACAAACACCTCAAAACCTTAATATTGTGAGAAATTGCAGACAAATGCAATATGTACTGCAACTGAAAACCATGCATACCAAGTTCTGGAAAACAGTCAGTGACTTTCCAGGATTGAAATTTGTGGCTACATTAAGGTACTTTTCTCCATAATTTCCATAATATCAAAGATTGCATCAAAACTACAACTTCACTATAATTTAGAAAAATGATAATTTGACAACCAATTTTTTCATATATAATACAACCACTTTATAACCTTCTCATAATATAATAATAATTTATACTATATTTTGTTATTATATTATAATAAAACGGTTGCAAGTGGTTGTATATGAAAAATGAGTTGTCAAATATCATCACCCTATGAACCCGAAGCTCTCAGTTTCACGTGATCTATGATTCACATTCAAACTGAAGCTAGGCTACTATTAATAAATTTCAAATTTTTCACATCTGAAATGTGATGCGAGACACCAAACATGCTAACATATGCCCACAAGTTTCTTCAACGCGAGAATATTACAACAAAACCATGATGATAACTGCAAACCCTAAAGCAGTCTGCATTGGCTATAATAACTGCAATGCAGCTGCACCTACGAATCATAATCCCAATTTAAAACCTTTGATCAATTGGTTGGGAACTAGAACTACAAGTCGAATTAGAGCATATCTCTTGAAGAACCAAAAGCCTTGCCTTGTTGATGTTATAAAAGCAGAGGAATATATGCTCCTCAAGATGATCAACCTGGTGCAAAAACCCTAGGTGACTCTTCCACAGCTGCTTGATAACTTCCTGCACAAGGTACTTCTCATTGCCCCTCTCCAAACCAAGCCTCACCAACACCTGGTCCCCCTCCACCGCCGCGCGCAGCCGCGACACTAGAGCGTCGATTGTCCCGAGATCATTACTCAACACGTAAGCACATTTGGCAGCGGCATCAATCTGCCTAAGCCTATCAAGTTCCCTCTTCTCAGAGGCACAAAGCGGCAGAGCAAAACCGGCACCAGCAATTGCTACCACAGCGTGCACCGTGGCTGCGACAGTGGCCGCAATCACAGCAATTGCGACCGCGACGAAGCACATGGCGGAGCCGCGGAGAAGGCGGCGGGAGAGGCGGAGGCTCGTGAGCGATTTGGCAGCGCGACCATCGAGGATGGTTTTAAGGGCGGAGAGGTCGGTGCGGATGGTGGAGAAGGTGTGGGAGTTAGGAATGGGGTTTGGGAGGGTGTGGAAGGGGTGGAAAATGTGGAGAGCCCGAACGCAGTCGTTTTGAGAGGGGTGGGAAGGGTCGAAGGTTTGGAAGAGGTCGAGGAGCGGCGCGTGCATGGCACGCGCGCGGATGAGGCAGTGGTGGAGGTTGTCGGCGTTGACCTGGGCTAGAGCTTCTTGGACGCGCTCGCGCGTGGGGTTGAGGTGGTGGGCTTGGGCCTGGACGTTGGAGCGAATCTCGGTGTACGACGTGGTGTGCACAGCGATGTTGTACTCGCCAGAGATGTTGGGTGTGTCCTCTGCGAAACGCGGCGTTTCGTTAGTTAAGTGAAAAGAAAGAGTGATTTGATTTAGAACGAAGAATCCTTTAGAGTTAGTCGTTACCTTGGGAAGGGTTTTGGATGGTTGAGGAAGAAGTTGATGACCTGAAGGAGAGGCATTTGAGCATTCTAGGTTTTCTTCTTCTTTACCCAAATCTTTGGTGTATTGTTAGCAATGCAGTGTATGACAATGTTGTTGACCAATTTAAGAGAGTGATGATGATGCTTCTTCTCCAAGAAAGAGGAGAGAGACCACGGTAGGATTCAGGTGTGGAGTTTAAAAGCTGGGATTTTTGTGTTATAAAATGTTGGTGAAACTTCTTACCAGCTATTAACCCTGCACATTATGTCTACAAATTTGAGGAAGGACTCTACGTCCCTGGATTACTTTTTTTTTTTTTTTAACTAACATACTTCTGATAAATATTTACCTAAGAAGGAAATTGGGCTCTGCGTAACTCATTTCTCTTATTTTTTTTTTTTTTTTTTTTTACTTTGAAAGTTAACCCATCCTTATTTTTTAAAATATTAAATTTTGTCTATCTATTCTAAATAATCAAAATAATGTCTAGTTAGTATAAAATAGTATTTAACATATGTGCATAAACTTTATAATTACTTAACTCTTAAAATATTTATTAAAAAAATTAAAATTTATGTAAAGTTGAATAAATTAAATAATTAAATATGTATAAAGTCATGGTAAAATAATTAAAATAATATATATATATATATATATATATATACATTATTAAAATAAAAATTGATATTTTAAAAAAATAATTTAATAAATTTAAATAAGTTTTTATAATAATTATAAATATATGTACATATATGATTATTTAATTTACGCAATTTCTTTTAGTAAAAATATAAAATTAAGCAGTTAATAATGTATTTGTATTAGTCCATTTTTAATATTTAATTAAAATAATTTTGTATATTAGAGTAAAACATCAAATTTAGTTATAAATAATTTAAATTATATTTTATATACATAATTTAAATATTGTTTAATTGATTTGAATATCATTTTAACTTGGATATTATTATTTATACATTAATCAATATATATAGAGAAGTTATTTAAAGAAGTTATACACGTCTTTCACCCTTTTACTTTCACTTATTAGATGATAATAACAATATTTATAATATATTACTTAGTGAGTAATATGGATATTAAATTTATTTATAATATGTTTTCTGGTATTTGAATAAATGATCTCAAGCAAGACCTCTCAGTGGTCTAAAATTATGTCTATTACATAGAAATCCGCATAATGAGAATTAAAGTTGTTAATGAATATAATAACATATCCTGATTAAGGGATCCGAATCCAAGACAAAATAACTCACTAAAAAGTCATTAAGCTAGTTTATAAGTAGGTTTTTTACTTCAATTATAATTCATCAAAGTTTTAAGGATGTTGAGCACCAATATTTGGCATAGTCTACGTGAAATAATTTTCACTTCACATAAACAAAAAATGCAAAGGGAAATGCATAATACATGAATAAATTCTCAACCTATTGGGAAAGACAACACTTACACAATTAAAGGATGATGACTATGATGAAACAATTGCAGAAAAAGAGGTATGTTTTGTTAGTATTATGGTGCTTGATTTAGTCCCACATCGATTAGGATTGTGAGATGAGGTTCTCTATTTTGTTATATAAGCAACCCTATGTAAAGTTTGAGATACACACAGAAATAAAAATACTTCCTAGTGTAGTCGTGGACGTAGGCATACATATTTTAGCCGAACCACGTTAAAATTCTTGTGTCGTTTATTTTCTCTCCTTCATTCTTTCATTTATTATTGTCTTGTTCCTAACAATTGGTATCAAGAGCCAATTTTCTTAGTATGCTCGTGGTTGCAGCTTTGTCTCGATCTTCCACATCGAAAAGATTTGGTCTTTTTTTCTTGGGAATCTCGGTTTAGAGAAGCAGTGGGAGCTTTCTTCGAAAGCGATGAGAGCAATGGCATTGGAAGAAGGAAAGGTGAGGATCGAGAAGTTCGATGGCGGTGACTTCGGGTTCCGGAAGATGCGAGATGGAAGATTATCTCGTATCGAAGAAGTTGTATCTACCCTTGACAGGCGTGAAGCCAACCGACATGGAGCAGATCGAATGGGAGTTGTTAGATCGGCAGACGCTTGGTGTGATCCGGCTGACATTAGCCAAGAATGTTGCGTTCAACATCATGAACGAAAAGACAACCGTAGATTTGATGCGTGCGTTGTCAAATATGTATGAGAAGCCCTCTGCAGACCAATAAAGTGCATTTGATTCGCAGGCTAGTCAACCTCAAAATGGGTGAAGGTAACTCTGTTACTAATCATATTAGTGAATTTAATGCAATTATTGCGTAGCTTGACATCAGTGCGAGATAATATTTGATGATGAGGTGAAAGCATTAATTTTATTATCATCTCTACCGGAAAGTTGGGGTGCAACTGCTATCGCAGTAAGTAATTCCGCAAGCAATAACAAGTTGAAGCTTGATAACATCCGTGACTTGATCTTAAGCGAAGATGTTCGCAGGAAAAATTCGAGTAGAATCTTTCGGTTCTAATTCGAGTTCAAGCATTGAGTACCGAAACTAGAGGAAGAAGTCGCCGTAAAGGTCGTAATCAAGGCCGAGGCAGATCAAAATCCGAGAGGGAGATCACAAGCAAAAGTCCGGAATGATATCACTTGTTGGAATTGTCGGAAAAGGGCCACTTTTCAAATCGGTGTAGAGGCAACAACAACAAGAAGCAAGATGATGATCAATCAAGCAAATGCAAGAATCGATGAAGTTGAAGATGCACTCGTTATGTAGTTTAGATAATTCTATTGACTCATGGATTATGGACTCAGAGTGCGTCATTTCATACTACACCTTCCTTAGAACTATTATCTAACTATGTTTCTGGAAAGTTTGGGAAGGTCTACCTTGCAGATGGAAAATCTCTTGATATCATAGGAAGAGGTGATATTAACATCAGAACCTCTAATGGAAACGTGTGGACTTTGAATAATGTCAGACATATTCCAACCTTAAAGAGAAACTTAATATCTATAGGGCAGTTGGATGATGAGGGACATTACACCACTTTTGGAGATGGACATTGGAAGGTAATGAAAGGTAATCTTGTTGTTGCTCGTGGAAAGAAGCAATGATCTCTCTACATGATTGCAGATGAGGATATGATATCGCTTGCGAAGTTGGCAACAATTCCTCCTTATGGCATCGAGGCTTGGGCATATGAGTGAGAAAGGAATGAAGCTCATGATATCAAAAGGTAAAATACCTAACGTGAAGCATGTTGACGTTGGACCTTGCGAACATTGTATCTTTGGAAAGCGTAAAAAGGTTAGCTTCTCAAAAACAAGTAAGTCGTCTAAAGTTGAAAGACTAGAACTAGTGCATACAGATGTTTGGGGCCAGCTTCAGTGAAATCCCTTGGAGGTTCACAATATTATGTAACCTTCATTGATGACTCTACAAGAAAGGTATGGGTTTATTTTCTTAAAAATAAATCCGATGTGTTTTCTCGTGTTTAAAAGGTGGAAAAAGGAGGTTGAGACTCAAACAGGTTTAAAGGTCAAATGTTTGAAGTCTCGATAATGGTGGAGAATATGACAAGTAGTCAATTCAAGGAGTTTTGTTCGGAGAATGGGATCGAATGATCAAGACGAGCTCCAGGAACACCGGAACAAAACGGTGTGGCGTAAAGAATGAACGGAACCTTGAATGAGAGAGCAAGATGTATGAGAATCCAGATAGGATTACCCAAGGTATTTTGGGCGGATGCAATAAACACAAGCAGCCTCATCTCATAAACAAAGGATCATCAGTTCCTTTAGACTATAAGTTACCCGAAGAAGTATGGTCCGGAAAAGAGGTAAATCTTTCACATCCGAAAGTTTTTGGTTGTGCTTCATATGTTATGTTAGACTCTAATAGTAGAGATAAATTGGACCCTAAGGCAAAACGTTGTTATTTCATTGGTTATGGATCCGACATGTTTGGCTACGGGTTTTGGGATGACCAAAACAAGAAAATTATCGAAGTAGAAATGTTACTTTTAATGAAAACATGTTCTATAGAGACAGGATTGCAGATCCGCAAATGTAAATAAACAACTAGAGCAAGTATCATTAGAAGAAATTTCAGAAAGTGATGTAGTCAACCGAAGGTAGAATATACAAGTAGAGCCTATGTCGAGCTCGAGACGTAACCCGAACAAATAGTAGAGTCAAGCAACTCCCGAAATCTTGGTTAGAAGATCTAGCGTAACAATTGTAGCACCACAAAGGTATTCCCCTTCATTGCATTATTTGTTGTTGATCGATGCTCGGTGAGCCGGAGCATTTTGCCGAGGCTATGCAGGGAGATGAATCTATTAAGTGGGAGCTAGTAATGGAAGATGAGATAAAGTCCCTTCGGAAGAATAAAACATGGTCTTTAACCAAGCTACCGTAAGGAAAGAAAGTTTTGCAAAACAGGTGGGTCTATAGGTTGAAAGAAGAACCAGATGGCAGCAAAAGATATAAGGCTAGACTCGTAGTGAAAGGGTTCCAACAAAGACAAGGAATTGACTTCACGTAAATTTTCTCTCCTGTTGTCAAGATGACTACCATCGAGTTATCTTGAGTATAGTAGCTGCAGTAAAATCTTCATTTGGAGCAGCTTAGATGTCAAAACCGCATTCTTACATGGGGATCTTGAAGAGGAAATTTTTATGACACAGCCAAAAGGTTTTGAAGTACAAGGCGGAGAAAATCTTGTATGCAAGCTTCATAAAAGTTTGTACGGATTAAAACAAGCGCCGAGACAATGGTACAAGAAGTTTAATGAGTTTATGAGAAACTCGGGATTTCGCAGATGTGAAGAAGATCACCGTTGTTATGTGAAGAAATATGTTGATAGCTATATCATTCTTGCCTTATATGTTGACGACATGTTGATTGTTGGAGCTAATATGGCGTAAATTGACAAGTTGAAGAAACAATTGTCGAGAGCTTTGAAATGAAGGATCTTGGTCCAACCAAGCAAATTCTTGGTATGAGAATCTCCCGAGATAGAGATAAAGGTATTTTGAACTTATCTCAAGAAAAATATATAGAAAAATT